AACAGAGTAAAGAACAGACCGGGCCAAAACAAATCACACCGTGTTAAAGGCAAGCGAATAGAAGTGGGTCTTCAAGCGAGACTTAAAGACTGAGTGTGGGAGCCTGCCGGACACTCAGTGGCAACTCATTCCACAGTCGTGGACCTGCAACAGAGAAAGCCCTGTCACCCCTGAGCTTACGACGGGTTTCTGGGACTGAGAGAAGCATCTGGTCTGCTGACCTCAGAGAGCGCGGTGGGACATATGGCTGCAGAAGATCAGTGAGATAGGATGGGGTGGAACTGTTCAGTGATTTAAAAACATACATGAGAATTTTGAAATGGATCCGAAGGTGAATGGGTAGCCAGTGCAGGGAGGCCAAAACTGGCGTGATGTGCTCTCTATAGCCTGTACCAGTTAAAAATCGGGCTGCAGCATTTTGGACCAGTTGTAGACGAGCAATGGAGGAATGACTGATTCCAAACAGAAGTGAATTGCAGTAATCAAGCCTAGATGTTATGAAGGCGTGGATCACTGTCTCAATGTTCTTTTTGGAGAGTATAGGCTTCAGCTTAGACAGCCGTCTCAGCTGAAAAAAACAGGATTTTACCATCATGTTTACGTGACTGTTGAGTTTTAAGGATGGGTCCATTATCACCCCCAGATTAGTGACCTTTTGTTTCTCTAGCGGGGCTAGAGAGAAAAGGTCAATGTCATGGTTCATGAGTGAGCCACTGGGATGGAACAGCATGACTTCAGACTTCTTCTCATTGAAGCTTAAGAAGTTTAAAGCCATCCAGTCCCGGATGTCAGCCAGGCAGTCAAGAAGAGGCTGAATAGAGCGTGTGCCTCTGTGCCTCAGGGGGAAGTAAATTTGGCAATCATCGGCGTAGAAATGAAAGGGTATGTCGTGTTTGCGGAAGATAGCACCTAGTGGCAGCAGGTATAAAGAAAAGAGAAGGGGACCGAGGATGGACCCCTGCGGTACCCCCCACTGGAGCGCTGTCGATGCCGAACTAGAATCTTTGATATTGACACAGAAGGTTCTGTCAGATAGGTAGGACCCAAACCATTTAAGGGCTGACCCTGTGATGCCCACCCACTGCTCCAGTCTAGAAATGAGGATCTTGTGGTCGATGGTGTCAAAAGCAGATGTAAGGTCCAATAGGACCTTACATCTGCTTGATGAAACACACAGAGGAATATGGAATGAAAGGAAAAAATGGTCAGAAAAGGTGAGTTCATCAGATTTGCAGTCAACAGGTGTAAGTCCAGAACAACAAATCAAGTCCAGTGTATGTCCTTTAATTTTTAGTCTACAGACAGTTCCTTTGATTTCATGCTTTGTGTTTGCGTTGTGACATGCACTGTCAACTGTGGGGCCTTATATAGAAAGGTGTGTACCTTTACAAATCAAGTCCAATCAACAGAACTTACCACAGGTAGACTCCATTTAAGTTGTAGAAACATCTCAAGGATGATCAGTAGAGAAATGGTATGCATCTGAGCTAAATTTCAAGCTTCATGGCAAAGGCTGTGAATACTTACATATTGTGATTTCTTATATATATATATATATATATACATATATATATACATGAATGGATGAATCGGGATGTACGTCTACTGCTGAAGGCTCGCAACATCGCCTTCAGGTCAGGGGATACACAGGCCTACAGTACAGCCAGGGCTGAGCTGAAGAGGGGCATCAAAAAGGCCAAGCACCACTACAAGGGGAGGATAGAAGAACACTTCTCAAACTCCAACCCCTGACGTATGTGGCAAGGACTCCAGATCATTACAGATTACAGGGCCATCAACCCCTCCCCCGTCTCCTCTGATGTTTCCTTCCTCAATGAGCTCAACAATTTCTATGCTCGTTTTGAGAGAGGGAACCCAACAACTACAACTAAGGCAGATCTGTCTCCAGACCACCAACCACTGACTCTTTTCCCCACCGATGGAGGAGCGGCACTGAGCAGGATTAAAGTTCACAAGGCTGCGGGTCCTGATGGCATCCCTGGACGTGTTCTTAGAGCGTGTTCTGGGGAGCTGGCAGGAGTACTGACGGACATAACTGTAACATAACTAAATGTGCTGATGCATGCTCAATAATCCAGGTAGAAAAATCTAAAAAAGGTTAAGTCTGGTCCTCTGGACATTCAAAAAACAAAATAAAAAAGTAGAAACGTTTCGTCTTTCATCCGAAAGACTTCCTCAGTCTGAGGTGTTGTATTCAGCTCAGTCTTATAAATAGCACCTTCTCAGAGTGGATCAACCAGTTTGCTGCTGACAACCAAAACCAGCTGCTCACATGATCAAGGAGGACCATCAGCCTAACGATGGATCATTAACACACTGATGGCTGTTTACTATTCACAGAGGGTTGAGTGATACTAGCAATAACAGCATTGTAAGAGGGGGACAGTTGAACACGGAGGCGTCAAGACCTGTTTAATGATGGACAATTTCTTTTCACAATGATGGCCTCCTTTACTCCTCTCTCAAGCCATCGTTCCTCTCGGTCAAGGATGTGAACATCTTCATCCCTGAACAAGTGACCGCTGGCCTGGAGATGAGTGTAGACTGCAGAGTCCTGGCCTGATGTTGTTGATCTTCTGTGCTGGTCCATCCTTTGGCCAGTGGCTGTTTATTTTCCTCGATGTAAGACTGATCACAGTCCTCCTGACACTGAACAACATACACAATATTACTCTGTTTGTGACGGGGGACTGGATCTTTGGGATGAACCAGTCTTTGCCGTAATGTATTTTGGGGTTTAAAAACCACTGGGACGTTTTGTTTAGAAAATAAACCTCTCAGTTTCTCTGATACTCCCGCAACATACAGAATGACCACTGGTCTGGGTCTGGGTTCCTCCTTTTCACCTGATGGCTGACTGGAATCCTGTTGGGGTTTCTTCTCTGCTTTCAGGAAGGCCCAGTTAGGATATCCACATTGCTCTAGAGCCTGTCTTGTGTGGGATTTCTCCTTCTGCCTGGCTCCTGAGCTAGTGGGGACGCTGTCTGCTCTGTGGTACAGAATCCTGATGACTCCTAACTTGTGCTCCAAAGGGTGATGGGAGTCAAACTGAAAATACTGGTCTGTGTGGGTAGGTTTGTGGTACACCTCAGTTTGCAAATGTCCTCTATCAGAAACTGAGACCTCAAAGTCCAAGAAAGCCAGCCTCTTCCATGTACAGGTTGGCAACAATAGGAGAAACTGGAGACCCCATAGCACACCCTTGTTTCGGCCTATAATATTGCTCCCCATATTGCTCGTCAACCTACTTCACATATACAGCAGCAAACTGGTTGATCCACTATGAGAAGGTGCTATGTACAAGACTGAGCTGAATACAGCACCTCAGACTGAAGAAGTCTTTCGGATGAAAGACAAAACGTTTCTCCTTTTTTTGTTTTGCTTTGTTTTGTTTTTTGAACGTCCAGAGGACCAGACTTAACTTTTTTAGATAACTAAATGTGGAAAAAGTGAAGCACTATTGAATACTTTCCATATGCACTGTACTTTTGCCTGTCATTGTCCCTACATTTAGAGTTGCTACACTCATTCTTACACTCTTGCCTTGTTTTTCTCCCTCTGCCTTTTGACACGTTCCATTCTTCGTTGTCTTCAACTAACAGTAGCACAATTTTCACCGGCACCCTGTTTGTCAAGTCATTGTTAACTGAACTGATCTGGCATGGTGTTGTTTGGCTGAACTTGGATGGTGGTTTTGGTAGAAGAATTACCATATTATTATTGGATTATTGAGCATGAACTTTGGTGTTTTGAACCACCTTGACATGACTGTCTCAGAGATGTTGATAGAGGCGAGGGCAGACCCCAGAGGCCATTTTAGCACCAGCAAAATGTTTATTTTTTTCCCACTATGTAGTATGCTGTTGTTATGGGAATCAGTTTTGTTTGGTGGTGGCTCCTCAAATCGAAGAAGTCCTTTGGATGACGGACGAAACCTCTCAGCTTAAAAAAGAAACTGTCCAGATGACCTGACTAAACATTGTTGGATTTTATATTAGGATTATTGAGCATCAACTTTGGTGTTTTAGTAGAAATGTTTTACGTCATATGCCCTTCTTGACACAACCCTTACTATTTACTCAACAATGGGACCGACACAAAAGATACAGTGGGTTGTGCTTACTAGTGGTATTGTTTAAAACTCTGTTTTAGGTCAGTCAGGATTCCCAAAAATATTTATATTTGCTAAATGCTCAAATGAAGGAAACTTTATTTAAATTACTTTTTTCAAAGTCACAAGTATACATACACATTCTTAGTACTTGAAAGCATTGCCTTCATACTGTATGACTTGGGTCAAATGCTTTGGGTTTCCTTTCACAAACTTCTCACCATGTTTTGTTGGAATATCGTCCCATTCCTCCAAACAAAACTGTGTAACTGAGTCAAGTCTGAAGCTACCTTGGTCACTTTTTTCAATTTTGTCTACAAATTTCCTATGAAATTTAGATCAGGGCTTTGTGATGGTCACTCCGAAACGCCACTTTGTAATTTAATTGTCCAGTTAACAATTCTCTTCCTGAAATATTGAGTGATTTTTCCCCCTATGATGTCACACAACAAAGCAGTGAGTTTGAAGTGAGCCTTAACATTCTTCAACAGGGGTGACTCCAGTTAATTCAAATGTTGTCAACTAACCTGTCAAAAGCTTCCAGTAGTAGACCATCATCTGGGCTTTCACGATATATTTAGACATGGTAATCTTAACGTATGTAAACTTGTGGCTTTAAAGAAATAATTTTAAAAAATTCTAAATAGTTATCTCTCATGATTCTGGCATTTAGCAAACAAATAATTTTGAGAATCCTAACTGCTCTAAAACAGGAAAGGTTTAGTATGATTCAATGTCAGATTGAGTGAAAAAAGTGTATTTTTACAGTGTACTGTATGTAAACATCTGGTTTCCAATGTTTTTTCTGGACCCTAGTTAAACACAAAAAATTAGGCAGACTTGTTAACGTAGTTGAAGCTCATCTCACCTCATACTCTTTGACGGTGCCTTTCCAAGTACAACTTTCGTTAATACAAACAGCAGACAGACTTTCAACTTCCCTTCGAACAGCATTATCCGGGAATGCCTAAAAATATACAAAAGCACAAAGTTAAGACTCCGTTAAGTTAAATGTTAAAAAAAAAAATCAAACTGTTAAAAGTATAAAAAGACAACATATCAAACATTGAAACTAAAATAAGTTTTCTCTTTTCTGGGTGGGGTGGGAAATGATCTCATTTGCATTACTGTAATTCTAAAACATTTGGAAGGCCATGTTAAATGAGGAGATCTATTGTTCTGGTTGTAAAAACATTTTCATTACCAAAGACGTATTTGTACAATCAAACCTGAGTTCTCTAATCTTTAAATAATAGCATACATTCTAAATAATTCTTCTTCTTCTTCTTTCGGCCTTCCTTTCCTCAGGGCTCGCCACAGAGAACAACTTGCGCCAAAACTTGACAATTGTTTTTACACCGGATGACTTCCTGATGCAATTACAGACCACCGAGATAACACAGCCCTCTGTGTGGAGCAGAGAGCTGCCATCTAGGGCACCAGGGGTAGCAGATATTGGTGGTGGTAAGGGCCTTGCTCAAGGACCCAGAGTGTGGAGGCAGATATGGGTGGTTCACCTTTCCCACCCATATTTTGATGTTGTCGGTCCGGGGAGTTGAACCGGCGACCTTCCGATCACAGGCCCACCTTCTGTAGTTTCTGCGCCACCACTCCCCATACATTCTAAATGATAAAATGTCTAAATTCTTTGGTGTGTTTAATTTTATCTATTCATTTCACTTGAATAAATTCATTTAAATTGAAATTAATTTATTTGTGTTTCTGTTCAGTGCCCTGAGACGACTTCTGTTGTGGCTTGGCACTATATAAATAAACTGAATTGAATTGTAAAATTGAGTCACTTCATAGTAGCTCAATTGGTAGAACTGTTGCCTCTCAGTGAGAAGGTTGCCAGATTGAATCCCGGCTGGGGGGCCTTTCTGGGTGGAGTCTGCATGTTCTCTTTGTGCATGTGTGAGTTTTCTACGAGTACTCCCAGTTTCTTCCCACAAGCCAAAATCATGTATGTTAGGCTGATTAGTAACTTTAAATTGTCCCTAGGTGTGAGTAGTTGTGTGTCTTGTTTATCTCTTTGTGTCTCTGTGATGGACTGGCGACCTGTCCAGGGTGTCCCCCGTCTTTTGCACAGTGACTGCTGGATTTGGGCACCAGTGACCCCGCAACCCAAAACGGAAAAGCAGGTAAAGATATTGGACGGATGGATTTCACTTCTAAAATATCTAACCTCTCTGAATACTCTACAAGCAATAGTTTTTGACCTTTTGACTAATGACCTATAATTTATTGCAAGCTTTGTTGTTTTTTCACTGTTTTTGTTTAAATGTTTTTATCAACTTATTGTCAGCATATCTTCAAAATAAGTATTTATTTTATTATATACAAAGCTTATTCAATTTTATATTATGAGTTCATATATTAAACACCCACCATCTAAGGCAAGTGTATGCGTTTGTTTGTGGCATTAGCAAAATATTTCATGAACTATTGGACAGATTGTAATAACATTTTCAGAAAATAACCATAGGATGACTGAATTCCACGTATAGAACTGATTACGTTTCGAACCCAACCTGATTCAAGATGGCCACCACAACTAAACTTAAAATACACAAAAATAGATAAAGTTATACAAATTTGACAGATAATAGTCAAATTTGGTGCAATGGTAGCTGAGCGTCATCCCCAACATATACTCCGAGTGCTATACTGTTGTGGATCTTCATATTATACTTTAAACTTTAAGTAAGAAACCACAAGATACTAAAATCTGTGATGACAGGAAAAATGTGGGTTTATTCTTTACAGGTCGAACCGAACAGCTGGACACCTGAAGAATTTTAAAAAATATATTGCTCGAATGTTCTCTGACCTTCTTATATTCCTCTATTCATGTCAGAGGTCTTGCATAAACATAAGCTTGTTATTGCACAGTTGTCACATACACCCCGTCTCTGGTCGTATGCCCAGGCTTCTGACCTGGTTCACTGCCCATAAAATAAACACACTTCTCCCTTTTCTTGTAAATCAAATGTCAGTTTGACCCAAAACAAGGACATTTCTCAAATAAACAAAAATTTAGCAGCTACAGCTCAATTTGTAACACTATTAACACCACTACTACTATATTAGGCAACTAACAACTTTTCACAAAGCTATTTTCTTGAGCATGTATCAGGTTGTTAATTAAAAGGAAAAGAAATGGGGAACGTGTTTTCACTAGAGGTACTGAGAAAGGAGATGAGTGGACATCAAGGTTGTCCTGTCACATTTTCACCCTTCCTCACCTCATGTTTCCCTGTATCACATCTCCTCTGCTCAGCCACAGCAATCAACTCTAATCAGTTCCACCTGCTCTGCTCTCTTTATTACCCCAGCTCCACTCTCACTCAGTGCCAGATTATTGACAGCTTTTTCACAGTAGATTTCCAGCGATTCCTTGTTCTGACTCCTGACCACGATCTCAGCCTTGTGTCCTTGACTCCTTACCTTGCCTTGTCCCTCTCTGGATTTGTTTGCCTCATCTGACCACGGTACTGACCCTTTCTTCTCCTCCTTCGACTACGCCTTCGGATCTCGCCTTTGCTCTGGTACCAGCTCTCTGATCGCCTGTTAATGACCCCTGCTAAGTTTTCTGGACCCTGCTTCTGGACTTTCCCTCCATGGACCACACGCAGCTCCTTGTTCTGTTGGCCTGCTGCAGCTCTCACTCCTACAGTGACATCACCAAGTTCAGCGCTTCTCCTGTTCTTGCCACGCCACAGACTGAGAAGGTTAGTGACTAATTCACAGCGAGTCTCAAAACTCCTCACCCATTTCATAGTCACTAACCTGTCTCTCTCTCCAGACTGGACCTCCAACAGGACCCAGACCTCCACCAGAAGCTGCTTTAAAAATAAATCTTTTAAAACCATTCCTGAGTCTGGTGTTGTGCAGATCCAAACAGAACCCTGTCATGTCCGAAGGAAATTGCAAGAGCTGAGACAAGACGATCCCTATAAGGTGGTCCAAGCCATGCCTACGGCAGTCCAGGTTGAAGGAAGCTCAACGTGGTTTCATCTCAATCACTGCACCAAAGTTCAAGACAAAACCCACGGCAGTGTTGCTTCAAAGATAATTGAACATGATGCTAAAGGAAAGGCAGAAAATTCCAAGACTGATGATTGTTCTGTTTTGGAAGACACTAGAGGCAATGACACTGAGAAAGCCCCTGCTGGAGAAGGTGAAGATAAGCAAAAAATGACCTATCACACATCGACCAGTCACCAGAACATTTGCCAAAACAGCTGCCAGAAACCGGGACAAGTCACCGAGCACAAGTTGAGTATGACACAACAAAAACATCCCATAATAGACCGGTTAGCTTACCAGCATTCACAATAATACCTACATACTCACACTAAATCAAACTAAGGGTAGTACAAAAAGGTTTAAATTAAAAAAGAAAAGAAATTCAAACTATAGTGTAATGCAGATCTAAGAGACAACTCCTAAGGTAAAAGAATTAAAGTTAAAAAGAACTAGCAAACAATAATTTTTGGCACTACAATAAAATTAACAACTATCAGATTGAATAATATATTAATTACTGTAAAACTGTAGATCCAAAAACCCTATCAACAGGACTAAATATCTTTACCTCAACTAAACCAACTACCCCAGTTGAGATTTTAACTACAAAGTCAGCTCCTACACCTTCAAACTTGGTAGCAGCGCCGACAGATACTGCAGAAACTACCAGACCACCTAAACTATTCACAACTGGGAGTGGTGGCGCAGAGGTTAGAGAGGTGGGCTTGTGATCCGAAGATCGCCGGTTCACGCCCCGGCCCCGACAACATCAAAAATTGTGGGTGGGGTAGGTGAAACATCCACACTTGCCCCCACCCTCATTCGCCCCACTCTGGGCCCATGAGCAAGGCCCTTAACCCCCACCATGTGCTCCCTAAACAGGTCTCTCTTGAAAATGAGTTCTCGTGGCTCAATGAGACTAACCTGTATAAATAAAGGCTAAATGAAAAAAAAAAACAAAAAAACAACTGAAACATCAACTACAAAAAATTGAAACTACCACCTATGACTACTAGAGCTGTAACCACAGAGAGCATAACATATGAACCAACTACCAGGCCCTATATTAAAGCAACACCACAGGGTGTTAAGTAGCAGAAGAAAGTATATAAGCTTTACTTACTAAAATAGCAGCAAATATAAATTTCTCAACCTCCTTCAGGGAAGATTGGACAGACTTAATGCAACAAAGCATCAGTAAACTATTAAAACCTCTGTTTAAATTAAGTAGGCCGAGAGCCCAAATACAACAACGTAGTGTCTTTCCCAGAACAGGGAGGGAAAAAAAGTGAGTTCAGGGAAAACATAACTCTGAACAATGTGTAAAATTACAGCACAAAATGTGTAAAGAACATAAAATGATCAATCAAACAGGGATGCCATTATTTTTCAATCTTTCTATGTGTAGTATTAAATGTATGGAAAACAGAAAATTCACAATTAGTCAAGACAATTACTTTGGATATAAACTCCAAGAGCCACAATTATTATTATTACTGATAATTTCATGTTGCTGTGTTCATTAGTCCTCATCTTCTCAAACAGACTCATGTTAGTGCTGCTGGTGTTTTGGCGCATTGTTGTTGTACCATTAGTACTTAGTGTATTCTTAGTTTAGTGAATGTAGTATATTCTTATTTCATGACTCGGATATTACTAATGTTTTTCTTTACAATTTGTGTTTTTGTTGGATGTAACTGGGACCCTATGTATATAGTTTCGTCCCACCTCATGTATCACGTGTAGTGTGTATGAAAAATAAATCTCTGACTCTGACTCTCTGACTCTGATAATGCTGAATATGAATGTTTGTTACAACACTTGTAACTTGGTATGAGAATCTTGAATCCCTTAAGCCAGACTTGTGAAAATATAACCATGACTATTTGCACGCTTTACCTTTTGAGTGATTAGACCCAACTTATAGCAGATAGTTACTGATCCACAAGTTGCCAAAAACTTTATCAAAACCCAGCCTCCGATTGCATGAGACAAAATAAAAAGAACAGTTGGTATTCGATCAACAGCCAACAGGACATTTTTTTAGCTTTAGGAAGCTCCATCATTTTCAGAGTGACATGGTTGAACCAACAGGGTCTTAACTCTTGTCAGTTTTTGCTATTAGATTTGAATTTATATCAATGTTTTCCTTAAGACGTTTCAGTGTGAAGAAGGGGACTGGTTTACGTTTTCTCCTGCTATGAGCTATGAGTCCAGGAAATGAGCGGACAGCGTCCCCACTAATTCAGGAGCCAGACAGAAAAGAAATCCCACACAAGACAGGCTCTAGAGCAATGTGGATATCCTAACTGGGCCTTCCTGAAAGCAGAGAAGAAACCCAAACAGGACTCCAGTCAGCCATCAGGTGAAAGCGAGGAACCCAGACGAGTCGTCAGTCCATATGTTGTGGGCGTTTCAGAGAAATTGAGACGTTTATTTTCTAAACATAATGTCCCAGTGGCTTTTAAACCCCAAAATGCATTATGGCGAGACTGGTCCATCCCAAAGATCCTGTCCTCCGGCACAAACAGTGATATTGCATGCTGTTCAGTGTCAGGAGGGCTGTGATCAGTCTTACATCAGGGAAACTAAACAGCCACTGGCCAAAAGGATGGACCAGCACAGAAGATCAACATCATCAGGTCAAGACTCGGCGGTCTACACTCATCTCCAGGTCAGCGGTCACTCTTTCAGGGATGAAAATGTTCACATCCTGGACAGAGAGGAACGATGGTTTGAGAAAAAAGTGAAGGAAGCCATCTTTGTGAAGAGAACCCATCCATCACTAAACAGGGGTGGAGGCCTCTGTGTTTTCAAATATCGCCCTCTTACAATGCTGTTTTTTTCTTTTGTTTCATTTCTGATTGAAGAGTTTGAAAGGGAGAGTTATTGTAGTTATAGGACAGATCTCTGTGACTGCAGAGGAACCTGTGAACTCCACCCACTCTCGTAAGAAAAGATGCTGTTAACAAAATTGGTTTTAAAGTCTTTAAACAGGTTCTATTGACAACGGCTAAGTGTTAATTTATTTATTTATTTTCCTGCTGCACTGATAAGTTATTCGGGTGAACCCATTTATTTTGTTAGTGTCTGTTTGCAGAAGCTGTGACTGGTCCAACACCTAATTGCTACTATGCGCTAGAGGTTTTTATGTGCAGGGACCTGACTTAGCCCTTCTAGACGGTTTAACCTCTGTATTATTTAAATGATAGTCTGTCACTGTGTTTATTTTTTTATTTACTCCCCTCATTTTTGATGAGATTTCTTTGCATGTAGATTCTCATTGTTTTGTTGTTTGTATTTGGAATGGACGTGATTACATACATATTCCTTTATTTTTCTTCGGTTAATATTGGTTAATATTAATATTCTTAATATTGATCAAAGGGGTGGAATGTCAGTGTAATGTGTATTATTTGCACTAATCATGATCAATAACTCTTCTGTCCACTCAGTAAACTGAATGGACAGATGGAGAATGACAGCTGTTATCCTTCCTCTTTAAAAGCTTTATTGCATTCAGCTATTCCCATTTCAAAACTAAAGATTGAGAATCCAGTATTCTCTCATACTATTAAAATCTGGCTCCAAATAAGAAATCATTGTGGATGAACAGACACATCATTTTTTAGTCCATTGATAAATAATCATACATTCCCTCCATCAGTCACAAACATATTTTATATCAGTGGAAGCATAAAGGGATTCAATGAATAAAGGATGTATTTATTGAAAATGATTTTTCCACATTTCAACAATTACAGAACAAATTCAAATTAGATAATAAAGATTTCTTCAAATTCCTACAGACCCGAAGTTGTGTAAAAAGCTTGTTTCCATCCTGCCCAGTCAAACTCCAGACTCCACAATGGATAAGGTGCTTAGTTATGTTCCACGTAATAAAGGTTTGAGAACAGGGATTTATCATTTGCTATCACAGGAGAACTCAGGATCTAAATTAGACCATCTGAAAAAGGCTTGGCATGAAGATCTGGGAGTGATTATTACAGACAAAATGGTCTAAAGCCCAAGGATATGTTCATTCTACTTCTGTATGTATCAGACATGGACTTTTGCAGTTCAATGTTCTACATAGATTGAATTATCTAAACTGAAACTGTCAAAAAGATGTTTCCCTCTGTTCATCCTTCTTGTGATAGATGTACATAGGGACTGGCCTCATTAGCAAACTTCTTCTTCTTCTTGTGGCTTTTCCCTCTTCAGGGATCACCACAGCAAGTCATCCTCCTCCATCTCACTCTGTCGTCTGCATCCTCTGTCCTCCCTCCATGTCCTCTCTAACTGCATACATATATCTCCTCTTTGTCTTTTTCCTGGCTGCTGCATTTATTGCATCCTTCTACCAGTATACCCACTGTCCCTCCTCTGGACATGTCCAATCCATCTCAGTCTGGCCTCTAATTTTAGGCCTCGTTAGCACACATGTTCTGGAACTGTCTTTATATCACAACATATTGGAACACAATCTGTCAAACTCTTTCCAAAATTCAAATAAAATTAAAATTAAAATTAAAAATAAAAAGCAGCTCAAGCCAGACCCAATTTTAGCTCTGTTTTTTTGTGGGACCAGTCGATGTACAACTGTCAGATACTCAGACCAGAATGATTAATTTTGTGACCTTGATGGCACGGAGGCTGATTTTGTCATGTTGAAAACAAAAAGTAGCCCCTCCCACCAGGCTTTAATGAAAGGCATAATGGAACATTTAAAACTGGAGAAAATTAAACATTTATTAAGGGGAAAAGTTGACATGTTTCACTCAACTTAGCAGTCTTTTATAAATAATTTCAATACAAATACTTCATTAATATGGTACAGCAATGGATATGTTATAACCCTCTGATGTTAGTTGTTGTTCTTTTCTTGCAATATTTTGTATATGTTTTGAAAAGTAAAACCATGAAACAAAGATTTTTTTTTATTTTTTTTTAAGAATGGAGTGGGGGATCGACAGGTCAGTGGCACAGTATTGCCAGCTTTGTTCCAGTTCATTGTGGAGAAGAGGTAGCTGAACTACAATGCAAACCTCTTTGTTTAACAGTCGGTCTATGTTCCTGCTATGGTCACAGTCTTTGGGTAGTGACCAAAAGAATGAGATTGCTGATACAAGCGGTCAGTGAGTTTTCTCTGGAAAGTGGCTGAACTCTACCTTTGAGTTAAAGACTCTGAGTAGAGCCACTGCTCCTCCACATCAAGGGGAGCCAGTTAAGGTGGTTAAGGCATCTGGTAAGGATGGCCCCTTGACATCTACTTAGGGAGGTGCTCCATGCATGTCCAACTAGGAGAGGACCCCAAGGAAGACCCAGGACATGCTAGAGAGACCATGTCTCTCTGCTGGCAACATCCTAGAATCTTTCCAGAGGAGCTGGAAGAGGTGGCTGTGAAAAGAGAAGACTGGGTCCCCCTGCTAAACCTAGTCTGGATGAGCTTGGTGAATATAAGCTATGGCTGCAACGAGGCTAAGAAAAGTTGCATTAAAGTCTTTAAATGATTCGGTAAATCTCATCACACATTCATACTTACACATCCTTGTTTCAAAATAGATGTAGACTCCTCAAAAATATCTTCTTTGATGCAAGTGTTGCATTTCTGGGGTCCATTGCTGCAAAGAGAAAATAACATCTTGGATCCATTGCAGATAATAAACTTTGGTGCAAATTTTAAAACGTTGTGTGTTTGGCTCTGCTCAAGCTGCTGCCCCCACAACCCAACTTTAGAACAAGTGGAGGATAATGGATGAATGGATAAATGTATGGATGGATGCATTACATAATTTCCCTCTGGGATTAATAAAGTATTTTTGAATTTGAATTTGAATGTGTTTGACAGAAAATGTCATTGTCAATATTATTTATAAAGTACAGAAGTCCCTCGCTACTTCGCGGTTCGACTTTTGTGGACTCGCTCTTTTGCGGTTTTTGAAAGTAAGATTGGACATGGCGCCCAATTGGCTGATTCATGGATGAACCACAAGATCAGCAAGGGGTTTTTTTTTATTTAAAATGAATTATTTTAAATTGTTTAGTACCTGCTGCACCTGTGTGCAGCCCACATGTGCAGGGAGAAGCTCCCACCTGCAGCATGTCATGATCTCCACTCTACAGCAGAGAAGTAGGCGTGGCCGAGAGCGCTGGCAGGTGGCAGAGAGAGCAGAGATCATGACATTCTGTGCCCTTTTAGAGCATTTAGAGTTTAGAAACATTGTTTAGAATATTGCAGGTGTGGGAAGGGTTTAAAATGCCTTAATATATGCTAAAAATACTATAAATACTAAAATAAACTACCGGTACTAAATGTACTACTATTCCTACTTTGCGGGTTTGCACTTATCGCGGATGGACTGAGAACGTAAACCCCCACGGTAAACGAGGGACTACTGTACATTTAAAAACAACAATGTTGAACAAAGTGCTTCAAAAGGAGGTTCAAAACAAATAGGAAAATCCAACATTAAAATCTACAGATAATAAAGTAGGCTAAAAACAAACAAAAACAAGAAAATATCACAACTTCAAACTTCTGATGGAACTCAAACTGAACTTAAATTAAAAGCCATTGTTAAAAAAAGTGAGTTTTCAGTCAGAATTTAAAAGACTGTACAGACTTTAGTACAAACATCAATGGCCAGGTTGTTCTAGAGTCTGGGGGCTGCCGCTGCAACAGCCAGACCCCCTCTACATTTTAAATTTAGCCCTAAGCTCTACAAAGAGCATCTGGCTGGAGGACCTCGGTGCTCTTTTAGGATTATAAAGGTAAAAAAAAATTCTGATAAATTATTGGGTGCCAAACCATTAAAAACTTTGAAAGTGAATAAAAGATTCTTAAACTCAATACAAACATGAACAGGAAGCCAGTTTAAATCAGCTAAAACAAATAATGCAGATAGATTGAACCATGATAATAATAACCAAAAAGCTATGGTTTCTGGTAAATCTTCATAAAATTTTTATTTAAAACAATATTAACTACAATTTAAAGGAAAAAAGTTAATTTTACATTATTTTTGTCCACAAATTTTACGTAAATAAATAAATACAGTAACTTCCTACATCATTAAAATACAAAATTTGCTCTTGGCCAATCAGAGCCTCACCTCACAGTCCTGTTGAGGCAGTAAGAACAAAAGCGATGTCCACACTGGGCTTGGAAAGGCCGTCGGAGGATGTTGTGGCAGCTGTTGCACAGGTGTTTGTCCTCCAGCTTGTTGCCCAGGATCTTCTTGGGAAAGCCGGGTTTATTGCTCTCTATGGATGAAGGAGGGGAGGGCTCCTGTGCAGCCATGGTGTCTGATTACACGTCACTCCTGCTAAACACACTGAATGTTACTGAATGCTGAGATGTGAGAGTTGCAACCACCAAAGGTTTCTTCTAAATACACTTTTTCTGTGACTTTTCTTAAATCTTAATACATTATTGTAACGATTAAAACTGTGTTAACCTGTTTTTGTCACAAAATGACTACTGGTTGCTCTTTTGGGCTAAGTGTTTTCAAAATAAATTAACAAATAGACCCTGAACTTTATTCTAACAAACTGCCCCGTTATTCTAAAAATAAACAGACGTAAACGTGTGGTTACTTTTAGAAATCCAATCTGTGCAAATGAAAATAGCAAATACAAACTTATAACATCTCAATATTAGCACAGTATCAGAGCCTAATTTCACTGTAGATATTTAAAGAGCAAGACAGTTCAACCCATGCACCAATCAAAAGGAAGTGCCAGTATTTGTCAGAAATGCTGGCTCCTTTTATTAGTAATGACTAAATTCATTTCATCTGTACCAGTTGCTTGCGCCCTGACAATATCACCCACAAGCTTTCATGAGAGCTTTGAATTTATATATA